GCCTGCATTTCGCGCACTCGACACGCACGATCTCCGCAGAGGGTTGCACTTTCGGTTGACGCTGTTCGTCCCGCTCTCCGCCTTTAAGAGAGAATTATAAAGTGGGGAAATGTTTTTTCATTAGGACATCTCCCGTGCTAGTTTTTCCGTACTCACACTTGCCTACTCATTGCATGCTTGCATACTCATTGCATGCTCGCATACTCATTGCACGCTTGCATACTCATCACTTGCATACTTACACTTGCATACTTTCACACTTGCATTGCACACTTTGCACTTCACTGCTTTCGCTCTTTCACTTACACAGGGCTACGTATAGCGTTCATGTTGTCCTGCAAGTGTGGTGAAAGTGTCAATGTCTGTTCATGTTGTCCTGCAAGTGTGGTGAAAGTGTCAATGTCTAAGTGTAAGTGTCGAAGTGTCAGTGTTCAAATGGCACATTGTCATCCAACACTGCCAACTTCACACCGTCATTCCCGCTCACATCCGCAAGCTCTCTTTTCACATTAGCAAGCTCTGCCTTTGACACTGTGTCATGTGACACATGTGACATCGTGGCATCATGCTCCTGCAAGATCAGTTGTCTTGGCATAACCCCAAACAAACAATGAATTTTGAACGCAACATGTCCAATACAAGGAACTTTCAAAGCAGCCTACCAAAGTTGCGTATGTGTCCTTCAGGGCCATGGTTGGCATCAAACATTGCAGGCCGGTGACAGCAAGATCCAACTGGCACAGGACAACTGTAACGCAAGCAAACCCCTGAAACACACCATATATCATCACTAAAGACTAAAGGTTTGTCCCTTTTTGCAAAGCCTCCTCATCTGTCATCTCACGGCCCATGCAGTGCTGAATCAGCGTGTCCACATCACCTGCAGCAAAGTGCATAAACAATAGGGCTGAGAACCAATCAAGAACCAGGAAGTGACAAAAGCTGCGCAAACACCACTTGACATATTACAATCAGCTATGATAAACAACCATACACATGTCCCTGCCATGGTAAAACACATGCCTTGTGTCAAAGGCTTCTTGGAGGCCAGCACTTTCTCACTGACCGTGACCAAAGCAGCTCGCAGATCATCAGGCATGGCAGGGAGAGCAGGACATAGTGCCTTCTAATGTCCACTACTGTAATGCCATCTGTCAATTGACACCTGGACCTGTCACTACACTCAATGGCCAGAAGCAATGCAACAATTCAATCTCAACTCAAATCTCACCATTGATAAATGCTGCGCACATGCCGAAAGCCCAAGAACAACACAATCATCTCATCTCAAAACAAAAACCACACTTCCACAACCTTTAAACAACATGTTGCTCAGACTGGATTGGTTCTCAGTTCTGGACACTAGGTGGGCAGGTAGGCGCACATCTTCTAAGCCTCATGCAGCATCCACGTTGGCAAAGGCACTACATCAATGCATGTGTCATGTGTGGTCATGTGTCACAATGAATCTTCTAAGCCTCATGCAGCATCCACATTGACAAAGGCTCTACATCAATACATGTGTCATGTGTCATGATGGTCATGTGTCACGACGATCATGTGTCAAAATGATCATGCTTCATGTGAATCAATGGCTGTTTCCAAGACTGACTGGTCATTATATAGTCACTAGACCAAAAGGTAGACAAATCTTGCAACTTGCCAATGCAAAACACTCTGAGGCCCCGCGCGGTATGACTATCACCCCAGCACCTATCCACAAACCATCAAATGCACAAAACAGCACACAAGGCATGACACATGTCGCTCGCATCTGGGCCACTCAGAACCTTTATCACATGCGGTCGCAGGCAGGGTCCTTTGACCATTCCACAGGCAATGCCACTCTGTTGGGCATCCTGTTCCTGCAAAATGAAGGTCCCTGACCCCTCACTCAACCATATGTCATATGTCATGCTTTTAAGTTCCAAAAATGTTATCCTTACTAGTTGATCAACAAAAAGCATGTGTCATGCA